ACCCAAAAAACTTTTGCAGGACTGAAGGCTTGATCTGCAAGTGTTGCGGCTGCTTTGTCCACCACATGACCCCAGGGGTCAGCACAAAGCAGACACTCACCTAACAACTTGCCCGCCCAGTCAGTGAATGCCACATTCACGCCACACCACCTCCGGGACTGAGAGCTAGACCTGACCGGTATCTTTGTCACTAAACACTGGTGAGAACTTCAGCAGAAGCTCTTTCTCCCTCTGGTTGTCAGGCTCCGCACCTTGAAGATGCAGGCATGGAAGTGCCTGCGGTCTCTCAAATTGCACCCTAAAAATGGAGAATGCAAGTTTTCACCATCCATGCCTACCTAGCCCATTGCCAAGATCTCCTGACATCTGTCTCTAGTTTGTGTCCTTTCTCCTATGTATTTCCAACATTTGTTTTCAGACAGATTGACATAGCACCTAAGAGCTCTGGCACCTGGCCATGCAGGTCCAAATCCCAGCTCCTTCACTTCGTAGTGGGTGATCTTGCACATGTTCCTTAACTCCTCAGCCCCTCAGTTTCCTCATCTGTATAAGAAAGATGAGAACACCACCTAGCTCACAGGCCTGCTGTGAGGATCCAGAAAGCCAATCCATGCAAAGCGCTTAAAAGAGACTAGTGTCACTATTAAGTGCCCCTTATTGCAGGTGACTTAACTCTCCTGCTCGTCATCCCCCAGGTTTCTTAAAGGGATAGCGTAACTGCATGTGACGTGATGTCACCTAGATCCCTTCCTTACCCTTGGTGTGCCTCCCCTTGGTGTGCAGTCCTCCTTCTGAGGCCAGTGTCCACCGTGACACCTCCTGCGGGGTCCCATAATGAGAAGCCTCGGTGAGCAGTGTTCAGTGAGACCCCATCCCTGTCCTGGGCACATGCCTTACCAAGTGGGCAATAAATACCCTTCAGTCAGACTTGGATCTGGTGCGGCCTGGCCCATAAGGGGGGATCTAGGTGGGGGTGAGTAGGCAGGAAAAAAGGTGAAAGAATTGGAAAGGGGAAGACTTAAGAGGTACACGGAATAATTCTAGGTTACATTTGGCCAGAGGAGTCTAAGAAGGTTTAATCCCAGAAGAGGAAGGGGCTGGGGCAGAGAATGGCTGTCATGTCAGTCTGATGGGACAGACAGGAAAGGGGTCTGGATAAGGCAGGTCAGAGGCCTGGGATGTGGTGGAGGTTCAGGGCAGGTTTGCTTTGAAGATGTAAGCCAGAGTGAGTGTGGACTGGGAGTCAGGACATCCGAGTTCTAATCCCAGGTACACTTTCAGTCCCTGTGACCTACTGTAGTCCCTGTATCTCTCCAAGTTTCCACTTTCTCATCAGTAAAACGTAATCATCTCCTCACAGTCGCTTTGGCTCTGGCTCTGTGTATTTGGGGGATCTGTGGGTATTCCATGAGTGTTTTAAATTAGTGTTTTCATTCAGTGATAACCTAAAAAAATACCAAGGTAAACCTACTCTGAGGGACCTCATAAACAGTGCTGACATATGCTTTAGGTTCCTACAGCTTCAGTGCCAGGATTTGCATCTCGTTAGCAACTTCCTCGGCACCAGGCTACCCTATTTTCACTGTCTTGGCCTAAAAAGGAAAGAACAGAAATACACTTCACAGGTGAAGGGATGTGCAAGACCCAAACAAAAGCCAATCATATTACAAGAAAGCTTCAGAGTTCTTCAAACAAGGCCATTTTGGCTGGTGAACTGAGTAATCCCAGGGAACAGGGTGCAGGGGCATCACAAGTACTGCCAGGCAAGCGTTAGTCACCCAGGGGCAGCACTGTAGTTTCAGGAAAATAAAACCTTGTCATTAATATCTAAACTAGAATTGTACTGATTTTAGTTTTCTGTATACTTAATCTGTAAACTTCATTTGGGTTTACTGACTGTATGGGGTATAAGCAGAAAGTTTACACTAGTTTGGGTTCACACATAAGGAATAAGGTAAGATTATTTAAGTCCCACTGTCGGAATGTATTTTCCTTTGAGGAGAATAGGTAGGTTGTTCAAGTTTGATGAACACTGCACTAGGGCATTTCCTAAGATCCCTGCGAGCTCCAACATGTACAAAAGGTCTGGCTGATGCACTGATGTTGTAGTCTGAAACCCCATCGTCCTTCCCTTCATGCCCCACTACCCATAGGACAAATCTCCAGATCTCTAACACCCTCCAGAGCCCTGTGGGATGTGTCCTCAAGGCCCTCACGCCTCATCCAGACATCAGTGGGTTACTGCACGCCCCACCTTCTCTACCTGCTCTGAGCCTTCGGGTCTCCGTGAAATCTGGGCCTCCCCACGCACCAGCAGGCAGGAGCAGCCCCCTTGTACCATGGTCCATCACATCCTGCACTGTCCTGCACAGGAGTATCACAGGCTGAAACTATGTAATTATGGGTGTGATCATCACCCAATCATGATTCTCTGACCCCAAGAAGGCAGGGGCTAGGGCTGCCCTGTCCTATGCTGGATGTGCTGCGCCTGACACGAAGCAGGCCCTCAGCCCACACCTACTGACAGTGGCTCTTACCACTAAAGTCTCTAAGTGCCCCCACACACAGTCAGCTGCCCTCACAGCTCCCAGAACAGAGGACCAGCAGGGAAAGTGTTCCCCTGGGACCATGACTAGCATAGGAGATGAACAAAGCCCCAGGCACACAGTATCTGCTCTGTAGCTTTTACTTAACCTGAGACTCAGTGCTGCTGTCTGTAAAATGGGGAGAATAGTGCCTACTCTTAGCAAGCTGAATAATGGCCCCCCAAAGATGTCCAGTCCTAATTCCTAGGACATGTGAACACACCAGCTTACATGCAAAAAGGACTTTGTGGATGTGATTAAATTATGGATTTTCAGATGGGGCGATTATCCGTGATTGTCTGGGAAGACCGAATGTAATAACAAGGGTCCTTGCAAGAAGAAGGTGGGAGAGTTAGAGGAAGCAACGGGCAACAGAGGCAGAAGTTGGAATGATGTACTTTCAAGAAGGAGGAAGGGGCCTCTGAAAGCTCCATGGGGCGAGGGCTCCATCTCGCTAACCTCTGTGGCCTCAACACACAGAACAGGGCCTGGAACACAACAGGTCCTTGGCACACAGCTGTCTGACACGAGTGAGTTCCACCCTGCAGCAGGCTGAGCCCACTCAGCTGGCTGGCATTCTCCTCAGACCCCTCAGGACTAGACTCCCTACCTGCTCAGACACTGCCCTGATGCCCATAGATTTGACAGCACCATCGCTCTGCTTAAAACCCTCTAACAGCTCCCTACAGTCCTCAGCATGACAGCCAAGCCTCCAGCCTCCTGGCTCCTTTCGCATCTGCATCCTCATTCTAACTATTGTAAAATTCTTTCTGTGCCTGGAAAGTCAGGCCTCCCTGCTTCTGGATCCTTAAATATACTGCTGTCTCTGGCTGAAACACCCTCCCTGACCTCCTTCATCTGGCTAACACCTCCTCATCCCTCAAGTTTCTGCTTGAAGCTCCCTGAAGACATGAATTATTGTTTATCTTGTGTCCTGCAGTATCCCCAGGACCTAGCAGTACAAGGCATCTGCTCAGGAAACAGAAAGTTGTCATTAGGTCTAACTAATGACCATGTGTGCTTTCTGGCATCTGGTTCAGTCACCTTGAATTCTGGCTTAGCCTGGACCTGGGGGGTGCTGCCTTGGTGCTCTTGGCCTTGACCCCTGCCCATCTTCCTGCTCTGTACCTCTGCCAGTCTGATGGTGATTAGACATGACTCCTCTATGGTGGCCTCCCTACTGGACCCCAGCCCCCAGAAATGCCCAGCACTTACTTTAGCTGACCCAATTCAGGACCGGGCACTTCTGCCAGTGGAAATAGGGAAAAGCATTATTGTGGACACTGTTAAACAAATAAGGTGACAGGAGTTCTAGGGTTATCCCTTTGGCAATCTACTGTAGTGTTCAAACGTGCATATTGATGACATGCCCCTTCACTTGAACTTTGTCATGTGTATGGAACTGCTGTCATCAACTCTGGATATTTATTTAGAAAGACATCGAAACAAACTAACGAAGACAGTTTCTGGAGATCAGCCATTGGGAGTTCTTGCAACACCTCCTTTTCAATACACGCAGCTGCCTACCAGCTAATCAGCACCCTCCAAACTGTGGGTCTGACTCATGTATTAGCAAGTAATGAAAAAAAATTGGTGTTTTTCACACCCTGTGCAATTTTGAAAAATAAAACAAGCCAGAATACAAAAGACATTTTCACAGAACTCTTATTTCAACTGACACATACATATGGGTGTTCTGGATCACAATGAGAAACATATTTGTTACTACTAGCTAAGGTCAAAAATTTTGAAAACTCCTGATTGGCTAATCCTTATTTTCCGGTCATCTTTCCTTCCTATACCAAAGATTTCTTCATGTTAGTTCTGCTCTGTAAGTTGCTCCTTACCTTATTTAAAGTCTCTAGAACTCTAGGTATTGGGATGCTGAGAGAGTGATGCAGAATTAAGCCAGCTGGCCAGGGCCAGAGGCCTCCCCACAGTGCACAACAGATGGGGCTGTTTCGGGACATCGGTGACCCATTTGGGGGGATCCTGAGGCTCCACATCCCTGGTCTTGGGCTCCTGCACCTCTAGCCTGAATGTACCCAGCTCCCGGTTCCTAAGCATTACCCACATCTGCGCTGCCCAAAGAGCACAGGGCCTCAGGCCTTCACGAGTGGGTGGGGCTGTCTGGAGAACACCGTGTAAGCTCAGTTCTCACACTTCTGGTTTACATTCCCTCTCCTACTATCTCAGGCCCGCTAGGCCGGCCTTGGTGAAGAAGGCAGCCTCTGCAGGTCACCAAAGCCAGAGAGGTGGGGATCCTTTGGAGGCACAAGCAGGTGGGCAGTAGGATGAGGGGCGGGGCTGGGCAGGCCGGAGCGGTGGGCGTGGCGGGGTCAGGGGTGCGGGATTCCGGTCCCGGCTGGGCCACCACGTGCGCGCCCCGCCACCTCCCCACACTGCCACTCTTACCCGAAAGTCGTGCGCAGTGTCTTTCACTGGCTGTACGCGGTGCCCCTGGTGCCGGGGGTCGGCCTGGCAGGAGCAACACAGCAGCTCCTTGTCTTCGAGGCAGAAGAGGTTGAACTGGCCGCGGTGCAGGCGGCAGAGGCGCGGGGAGCGGTGGCCGGTCCAGCGCGCGCCCTCCGCCTCCTCGCGCAGCAGCTTCTCCACCAGATTGTTGAGGGTGTGGTTAGTGCGCAGGTCGGCGGGAGTCGCACGGTCCTTGCACACCGGGCAGGTAGGCGCCACCTGCACCTCCCAGCAGCGGGTCACGCACCCGCGGCAGAAGTTGTGGCCGCAGCGCAGAGTCACAGCGTCGCGGAACGGGTCGTAGCAGACGGCACAGAGCAGCTCCTCCTTGAAGGAGCGAGAAGGCCCAGGGGACACGGCGGGGCCCGGCTCCATGGCACCAGCCTCCGGTTCCCGACCCCAGAACTTTCTCTCCGGCCCCTCTCACACGCCTTCGGGCCGGGGACCGGAGGTGAGCGGCGCCCAGTCCCTTGCCCTTCGGGGCGCTGAGCGACAACGACGCCGGCCAATCGCGCGGCGCACGCTTGGGAGGCTCCGCCCTAGTTCCGGTCGACTCAGGGAAATCCCGGAAGAGCCGGGTAGGCCCGGGTGCTCCGTGGTCCCTGTGGCCAGTTATGGGCGAGGTCTCCGGGTTTAGCGAGAGAGACGCCTCCCGGCTGTGCTTAGGGCTTCCGCGTCACTGGACACCTACTTCCGATTTGAAATGGGAAATGAAGTCTGGGAGCCGCTTCCTTAGCCAATCCTCGGAAATCTCAGGTCTGCGAAGTGGGAGGACGAGATGTCCACTTACTGGTCCGAAGTAGAGGCCGGGTCTTGCTGCGTCGGTGGTGTTTCCACCACGTACAGCTTATAGTGCCCTTCCAAAGATGGCATTAGTTGTTCACTTACTTTGGCCAGCCTTATTCCTACCTCCTTAGGGAAGGAGGAAAGAAGTGAGGGAAGGGGGTAGTTGGAAGACCCGGTGAGAGGACCCTATTCTTGTCCTATGGTTGAATAAGTGGGCAAGTCACATTCTTTCAAATTCTATTTCCTTGTGACTAAAAGGGCGATAATATCTCGTCATCGTGAGATACGAGGATTAAAGTGATGCTTCTGGCATTACGTAGGTTCCTATTAAAACAAAGATTAAGGACTTCTGCAAAGTTAGAATCCAGGCTGAATTTCTGCCTGTTAGAGCAGGCCAGAATCTTTCCAACTCCCCATCCCTACCTAAGTTTGATCAGTTTACAGCCTTAAGATGTCGGATTCCTTCTCTTTAACGCCCTGCACTCCTGGGTTCTGTTGAAAGACAATTCTCCACGTGTCATGTTTCTGTATATGAGAAAGGCCCCGACTGCCTATTTTGGAGTCCTCTTTTCAAGGATGTTTATATGGTGAACAGCCATCGAAGGCAGAAATAACGTCTCCCTGCAGGCAAAGATCTGGCAGACTTAATCTCCATTATAAAAGATTCAGATTCCCTAAACTCCAAGTTCCTCTCCTATAATGCAACCTGCTGTGGCCCTCATCCCGTAGGCCTGTGGGAACCTGGACTCAGGAAATGGGCCCAAATGATAATCTTACAGCTGCTATCACTGTTTGTAATAAACTGTCCTTTGTCTCTGCCCCAGGAATTTTATCTACCACCATTCGTGAAACTCTGGCAGGCTAATTTGCCAGTTTGCAAGTAGGCTAAAATCTCAGACCCTTTATTATTGGCCGTTGCCAACTTTTCCTTAGACTAGCCCTTTCCTCACAATGCCAAAGGGCTGAACACCAATAATTCTTACTGCCTTCTGCAGTGTTTCATATACATGGTTCATGGTCCTGGGGAGCTTACTAAAAGCAGATTCCTGTACCCACTTTTATCTACTCTCCTTTCTGGGAGAAAGGCGCAGAAATTTGCATTTTTCACATGCTCTCCAGGTAATTCTCAGGCATGCTGACACTTGAGTCCCATTATTCTAGATCTCCACACCCAACAGGTAGTCAGGTGTAGACTTAATGGTTACTAGTTCAAAAATTAACCTTCGAGGCAATCTTTGAAAAGGCCACAAGATGGGAGTAATAACCTTACACTCCAGGCACCTCCCTAGAAAACCTTCCCTTAGTCTCATTTTCTTTCACTGGGTTCTCTTATTTATGTGATCCAGTCGCTCTGTGAATCTCTTCTGCCATATGTGTTTCATTCTATTCTTAGAAAATTTCCCTTGTTTATTTTGTTGTTTTTCTTAGATAAGTGGGGACACAAAACAAGGTGAAGAATAGAAATTAAATGTATTTTTCCCCCTTAAGTAGAATCCAAAAGTTCACACTAAGCAATAAGCCTCTCGAGACTTTTGGAAAGTCTTGGTTGTATTCCATGCTCTATTGCTAGCCAGGAGAACGACCTGGGGCATATTATTTCACTTGTTTGACTTCCTTTTTCTCAACTATAAAAGAAAGACTGAACTAAATGCTCTAAGTCCTCACCAGCTTACATACTCTGAACATTTTGTATTCTTTGCATAATGTCAATAAAGAGAGTGACTAATACTTACCCAGAGAATGGAAACTCTTGGTCACTATAACCAATCTGTCACCAGTAGAAAGGACCTTGAAGACATTTATACCAGCTAAACTACTGCAAAAGTCTGCTGGCAGTTTTCCTTGTCTCTGACTTGCCCCATCCCATACTCCAGACATCCTTGCTGGGCACTGCCACATTTCCAAACCCCTGCTATCACAATGTAAATTAATGTAAGGAATGGCAACTATTTTTAAAATTCTGTGTTAGGGAGAACAAAGAAATCCCTAATGCAGAAGAATGGCTTCTCTCTCATCTCTCTCTCTCTCTCTCTCTCTCTCTCTCTTTCTCTCTCTCTCTCTCTCTCTCTCTCTCTCTCTCTTTAAAGCAGAGTGGCTACTGCAAATAAAAGGCAGAGATCATTAGGTTAGATTTAAAATAAGCAAGACCCAATTATATGCTGCCTAAAAGGAACCCACTTTAAATGTAAGCATACAAATTAGTTAGAAGTAAAAGAATAGAAAAAGATATACCATGCTAACACAAATCAAAAAAAGCTGAGGTGGCTATGTTAATTTGGACAAAGCAGATTTCATATCAAAAAATAGTATAGACATAAGGAGAATAGCTGCTGAATGTAACAGTTACAGAGCTGGCAGGAGCAAGAACCGTTTCCGGAAATAGGCAACCAGAGATGCAGGCATAATTGAGCTTGTTCAGCAGAGTTACCAAGGAAATCACTATATAGTCTGAGGCTTGATGTAGAAAACAGTGATGGCTTAGGCCTTCTCTGAGGCTTGATCCATGGGAAAAAGGAGGGTGGAGACTCTTGATTTGGTTTGAATAATGCAGGAAGAACATCCATAATAGTACTTAATGCAAGTGACTAGGAAAATACCTGAGGTAATAAATCACCTGCCTCTAGGTCAGATCTGGCATAATTGACATTATGCAATTTGGAGCTCAGACTTCTTTGCTCCAAATGATTTTTTTCCCTCTGTATCATTTATCACTGATGAACTTCTAAGCTGCAACTTTTAAAATGCAATTCAAAATGCTTAATAAGGGGATGGATTATCTCATATAACAGAAAGTCTGGAGGCAAGAAGACTATGTCCGACCTTGTGACACTGAGACCCCAGATTCTTTCTGGTGTGCGTGGGGCTTGTTTTGGTTGGAAAATTATTGCAGCAGCTCCAGGCTTCTTAATCCGGATAGGAATCAACATCCAGAAATGGAATTGAGCCATTTCTCCCTAGTAAGTCTCTTTTTCGGAGCCAAGAAACTTTTCCTAAAACCCTCCGGAATACTTCCCCTCACACCATTTTGGTCAGAAGTGGGTCACATGCCTCCCTCTAAATCCATCACCGGCAAGGGGAATAAGGCCACTGTGCTTGACTTGAACCAGTAGGATTAACCATGTGGTAGAGGGGTGGTCACTGATTTACATTTGGCACTCTGCTGATTTGCTGTGAAAGGGGAAATTAGGTAGGCAATTGCAGGCTCAGGACTGTTGCCAGCATTTGCAAATTGGGAGATTTCACACAGATTTCTACCTCTTTTTTTAAAATTTAAACATTTTTAAATTGTGTTAAAATAAACATGACAGAAAATTTACCATCCAGTATTTTTAAGTGTAGACTTCAGTAGTGTTAAGTATATTCCCATTGTGCGGCCAATCCCCAGAACTTTTCAACTTGCAAAATGGAAACTCTACGTCCATTAAACAACCCCCCATTTCCCTTCATCCCCCGAGGCCCTAGAGACTTCTAGTCTACATTCTGTCCCTATGAATTTGTCTACTCTATATGCCTCATGTAAATGGAGTCACACCGTATTTGTCCTTTGTGAGGGACTTACTCACTTAGCATAATGTCTTCATGGTTCATCCATGTTGTAGCATGTGTTAGAGTTTCCTTCCTTTTTTAAAGCTGAATAATATTCCATTTTACTTACACACCATATTTTGTTTATCCATTTATCTGTCAATGGACACTTGGGTTCCTCTCATCTCTTGGCTATTATGAATGCTGCTGTTATGAACATGGGTTTGCAAACATCTCTTCAAGATTCTGCTTTCAATTCTTTTGTATATATACCCAGAAGTGGAATCTCTGGATGATAATGGTAGTTGTACACTTACTTTTTTTAAGAACTACCATACTATTTTGCATAGTGGCTGCACCGATTTACATTTCCAACTACAGTGTACAAAGATTCCAATTCTCTACCTCCTGGCCACAACTTGTTATTTTCTTTCTTTTTTCTTATAATAGGCCTCCTAGTGGGTGTGAGATCATACCTCCTTATGGTTTTGACTTGCATTTCCCTAATGATTAGTGATGCTGTACATCTTTTCATATGCTTGTTGACCATTTGGTATCAACTTTGAGAAACTGTCTATTCAAGTCCTTTGCCTATTTTTAAATTAGGTTATTTTTTGTTATTGTTGAGTTGTTTGAATTCTTTATGTATTCTGGATATTAACCTTTTGCTAGATATCTGATCTGCAAATATTTTCTCCCATTCTGTAGGTTGTCTTTTCACTTTGTTGACTTTGATGCACAGAAATTCTTTATTTTGATGTAGCCCAATTTATCTATCTTTAGTTTTATTTTCTTTTTTTTAAATGTCATAACCAAGAAATCATTGCCAAATCCAGTGTCAGGAAGGTTTTTCTCTGTATTTTCTTCCAAGAGTTTTATAGTTTTAGGTCTTATGAATAGGTTCTTGATCCATTTTAAATTTATTTTTATATATGGTTTAAGGTAAGAGTCCAGTGTTATTCTTTTGCGTGTGGATATCCAGTTTTCCCAGAACCATTATTGAAGAGACTGTCCTTTCCCCAGTGAGTGGTCTTGGCACCCTTCCTGAAGATCATCTGACCATACACACAAGGGCTTATTTCTGGGCTCTATTCTGTTGCATTGGTCTATATGTCTGTCTTCGTGTCTGTACCACATCTTTTGATTACTGTAGCTTTGTAGAAAGTTTTGAAAATCCAGAAGTGTGAGA